ACTGGTTACTGATTACACAGAAAGTAATTAAATACTGTAATCAATTACAATTGTAATCGATTACTTCCCAGCTCTGGATACAAGCCGCTGTAGTAAGCTCGTCAAGCGTTAATTTTTTAATTACGGAGTCTCGGGTTGCGCTTTTCTTTTCGTTTTGTTTTAGGGTACAGGGTTGAAGCATTAGGATAGAGCTCTCTTCCTACGCCAGCATTTACGTACACCAGTAAAGGTAAGATTTTTATTGTTTTACATATTGGTTATTTGTAAAATTATCGATGCGATTTTTGTTAGTAATCATTTTACATGTTGAGAATTATAAGTTGGGGATTCATTGGGGGTTTATATTCCATTTTTAACTTAATTTATGGAAATATTTGTATGGTGGTTAAGTAAGTGATATTTATTTTTGTTGAGGATAAATATATCAGTATTCCATTGATTAATACGCTTCATTCATATTCGACCAATTAGCTTGGTGATTGTTTCAAATTCTAACCAATCAGATGATTTTTTATTTTTTTAAGTGATTAAAATCCTAATAGCTTAGCTTTGATCAGCGATAAAAATGCGTTAATTAATTAATTAATACTTTTGATCTCTAGTTATTTCCGTTGCAACAAAACTTTCGTGTAAAAATAAAATTATCCGATTGAACATCTCTTGTGTGATTAATTTACATGTTACTTCCGATGCTGTTGCTCTCGTCACATCTTACCGACAGGATCAATTTTTCAAGTAACAGGAGATTTGAAAGGTGTACTTAAAAGTACATCCAGTAGAACCGAAAGAAATGAAAAAACTTCGAAATAACAATAGACAGAATAGTTGTTGACTTTGTTAGGTTTTAATTAATTTGTTGTATCCTAATTACGAGTATCTATCTGACTGAGATTAATAAAAGATGTGACCTCTAAGTGAATTTAATGAGCCACAGTATAATGCTTACTGTTATTATTCCATTATTGTTGTAGTGTACTCACCGGGTCTGATCGCCCGCAAGCGTATGAGTGACATAAAATTTTAAAATACTTTGACACAGATTACGTTTATACGACTGCACTAAACAAATAAAATCGTTTGCGGACATGATCGGTTTCAGTGTGAATATAATTATAGGTAATATAATCAGGAGGATCTTTTTTATTTATTTTTATTTATTTTTTTTTCGAAATCAAAATATTCTTCAAAATGCACGAATAAAAATGCTCCTGATAAATTTTCTTATTAAATATGAAACATAATGTTTCTTTTCATTTACGTTCAACTTAATTTTTGGGATCGTAATTTGGTTATAATTGCGACTATAAAATTATCCAATTGGGATTGGTTGGAGTGAGAAAATTCACACGCCACGAGAATTTGAATTTCTATTCCAACCCAAAGTATATATTAATTTTAAGTTAAGAATTAATTTTTATTGTAAACAATTCTAAGAAACCTACATAAATGTTTAACAATTATCTTACGTTTTGTTTCGGTATGTGCAAGCCTAGGTCCCCATGCAATGGTTGCTCGAACAGCAGGTGTTACTTGTTCGCTTGAAATCCATAAACAATGACATACTTTGATTATGCCATGCTACATAATAAACAAAAAGTCCCAGAACGTTCAATTATCTGCGTGATTGGTTAATAAATATTTTTCAAGTTTGTATGTGTACACTATAATTATGTAAGTATCGACAGTATCCGTAACTTTTCGGTTATCTGAATCTGCAATTTGAGAAATGTCTGTATACGGTGATGGTTGTCCAAAGAGATTTTCGTCTGTAGTTGGGTTATTTTCCACATACGTCTCTGAATTAGCGTATTCATAATCTACATCTATAGCATATTCATTATCTATATTTAAATCATTTTCTAATTTTGTTGGTTCGTTTTGTACAACATTATGTAATTCTTCAGCAAAAAATTTAGGATTACCTCGAGTTGGTCCCTTAACATTTTGTGAATGTGGTTGAAAATTTCCTTCAGGGGGTCTTGATGTTTTAGTAACCACTGACATTGGAGTTTGTCTGTCCAGGGGTACCTTTCCCGTAGGTTTCCAAACATTACCCTTAGGGGGTGGGTTTTTGAAAACTTGTTGATTTGTAAAAAATTTATGTTAAACTGGTCTGGGGTTAATAGGGATCGGTTGACTTGGGAAATTTTTCGAGTTAGGTTGACCAGAATGGTTTGCAGAGGAGTAATTTCCAAAAGAATTGGGTGTTTGATTTTGAACAAACTTTTGTGAATTGAACTGAGGCGTTTGCATAAATGGCGTCTTAAAAGAAGGTGACGGTAAAGTTTGCTGAACATTTCTTCTTCCTTCATTACAAATAGAAATAAAATTTTCCTCTTGTATAACGAGTTGCATAGCTTTTTCTAAACTATCTGGGGTTTGAAGTCGTACATTAGTTTGTATATTAGGTGCTAAATATTTAAGAAAAGTAATTAGTACTATTTGTTCTATGTTACTTATTTAAGGTACTTTGGCTTCTAAGGTCATATTTGGGTCATTATTGATGGCTGAAAAAATTAAACTTCTAGTGTATTGGAATCGTACACCAAAATTATAACAATTTTCTCTAATATTTGGTTAAAGACTGTGTAATTCATTGAATAGGCAATTGAAAGATCTTTGATCAGAAAACGAAAGCTTTAAAACGGCTTTTACCTTTTCCCATAAATCTAACTCTAATCTACTTGAAATTAACGTAAGGGCTTTCCCTTTAAGTTTTCCTACAATACCTCTGAATATTAGTTTTAATATAGGTTCATCATATTCTTGAAAATTTTCAAAAGTTTCATCACATGCGGCAATGAAATTGTTAATTTCACAAGGATCTCCATCAAAATGTGGGATAACGTCTAAGAAAAGTTTAATCCATTGGTAGTTAACATTTGCCATATTTATATTGATATTAGCAAAGTTTTTAGTTAAAGCGTCTATATCAGGTAGGGATGGTGAGTTATACTCGGAATTATCCTCGGAATTATCTAAATTAAAATTTCTTAAGAATTGGGTTTCTAAATTTGATTCTAATGTTTCAGACTCCGAGTTTGAATCTGATTCGATATCAGGTAACACTCTAAATTTTTTTCATTATACCTCTCCGAAAGTACTGTCTTTTCATGTATCCCAAGCGCACCGCAAGTAGGGTTTTCCCGTGCGAGCGCACTGGAAAACTTTTTCCCGTGCGCTACGAATAATCAAGTTTGCCATAGCTATCCCTATCCCATGCGTTGCCATGCATACCGCGGATTGACTTTGACATATATGTCAACCGATTTTTTACCATTGTGTTAAAAATGGATTTTGGTGAAGGCGAAATTCCGCTAATATATTAAGGGAAGCTGCAGAAACCAGTTCCCAACTATTACCAGCGAAATCAAAAGAGAGATGCGAAAAGGAATATGAAAAATTTCATAACTGGTGCATTGAAGAAATCGTGAAAAGAGTACGTTATGGAGTAGGTTTTCAATGATTAAGAACATTCTTACGGTAAAAGAAAATGAAAACGCTAGCAAATTGTGCAAAACCGATTTTTTGAAGCGTCAGACCGTCCGCTACATCCCAAAAAAATCAAAAGTTCTGTATAACAAGGGAGCAATTTTTGAATGAAGCTGCAGAGATAAAATGGTGATTACTTACTAAGGTTATTTTAGTATTCGGAAATTTGGAGCAAGATGCAGGGGAGACGATACAATTCGCTCGACTATTGATGATGTGTTGAAGATAATGGGGGTTTAAGGGTCATAAGACAAGCAACAGAATTTGTTGTCAAATTGGATTTGGACTTCAATGTAAATAATTATTCTCCGTTATTTTCGGAGAGGTATAATGAAAAATATCGTTCATTACACGTCCAGAAAGGCTTTTCCCGGTTTGCATGACTTCCCGTGTTCGTCATGCGCCCACGGGAAAATCTTCCTTTCTGGACTGGTAATGAAATATACTATTTTCGTACTTCCGAGACTAAAGTGACAACTTCACTCCATTATGACAAGTACTGAAGTGTCACTTTTTGTCCCGCCGGGATTAAATTTTACGAAAATCCCGGAAGGATGAAATTACTAACAAAGCAATTTCAGTAGGTTTTCCACATTTTGTATGCGGCACTATTTCTTAAACGCATCGTACTGCTGTTCATATAGTTTTTGGATTTCGGTGGTATCAATTCTTTACCTACTTTGGTTGCTTTTTATCAATATCAAATACACCTTTGTCACCCACCACCAAAATTATGACACTAGCAATGACAGTTCCTATGGTAACTTGTTGAGCAGCGATTTTTTGAAAGAACGCGTTCTCTAACTCCATACATATTAAGTGTTTCTGTTTCGGAAGTACGAAAAATATCGTATATACCTTGCGACTGAAGTAGTGGTCTTAATCCCTCAGGTAAATTATGGCCCTCCCTTCGGTCGGGTCATAAACTTTACCTTCGGGATTAAAAGTACTACTTCAGTCCCGCGGTATATAATATATAGCTAATTCCCCAATTTTTTTGTTAATTTAAGGGATGAAAAAGAAGTATATCTATGTACAATCATCAATTGTGTTAGCTGTTGTAAATCGCCCAAAAAACCCATGGTCTGTATGTTTTATAGAGGGCCGCCGTTATCTTAAAGACGAAAGTGCTTATCCATTGATATAGTGATTTCCCAAAATTAGGCAAACTCAAAAATTCGGTTTAACGCACAATCATTCTGTTGGCTTAATACTCTACCAATATTTGATGTCGGCCCTTGTTTTAAATGCGATTATATCAAAATCATAAAGAAATGATTCGCTGTTTTGTGGATAGTTCAACATTCACTGCAGAGCCGCCTTAATTCAACTAGAGCACAGCGATTGCTGTCACACCTTATACATACTAAATTATCATTCATTTCTCATCTCCATAATCCTGAGGAACACTTTTAATGCTGAAGGGTGATCAATTAAAATGTGAACAATGATGAAATGCATTCCTAAGATACATAACAAAATAATAATTTAGGATAGATGGTGTTGATGTATATCTACTAATTTCAAATAGGCAAAAAACAATACTTACTGCATAAGATTGAAGATAATTTACTGGTAAACGGTGACGCAATACTGGCATCGCCCAACTTGACGACTTGATTTTGATCCTGCTCCTCAATCTCTTTCATGATCCTTTGCAAATTGGATTGAATATTCGCTAAATTATTTTCCGCGTTTCTAAGGGCATGATTCGATCGATTCCTCGGACCGGGATGTTCCCTCAACCTCTTCTCCTTCTCTTTTTCTTTCTCAAGCCTTTCTCGGGCGTCCTTCCTTTCCGGCATGCGTTCGGGCGCGTTTGCGAGTATCGCGACGCCGACGTCCGCGTGTTTTAAAGCGCCCACGTCGTTAGTGCCGTCCCCGCACATTAAAGTAGTATGTCCTAACGATTTAAGTTGAACTATAACAAATTCTTTTTGTTTCGGTGCGAATCGTGCGAATACTGCTATACGAGGTAAAATTTTATTTAGGAATGTATTGTAATGTTCACGTAAATAATTTAAACTATCACCGGTTATGCACAGGTCGTACTTTGCAATTACACTATCTTCTATCTTGTATCTTTCCTCTTGATTTATACTTTCCCACAGCCATTTATCATCCACTTCCGTTAATACTAAAATTGGATTTACACAAAATTTGAGCTCTTTTGCTACATGACATGCGGTTAAAGGATTATCACCAGTAATCATAACTACACGATGAGAAGCGTTAATAACTTCCTTAATCACATTCTTCGAGTCCAATTTTAATGGGCATGAAATAATAACGAATCCTGCAAACTTTAAGTCGGTCTCTACTGCTTCTCGATTTAACTCCCGAAGTTCTTGCGGACTCAATTTGCCTATTTCTCGCCAACCCAAAGCTAAAACCCTGGCTCCTCTGCGAGATAACTCCAAGTACACATTGTCGTAGTTGCTTGGAGCGTCGCAAAACATGCTCTTCAAAGTTTCCGGCGCCCCCTTTACAGTGACAACATAAATAGTTTCGGTCGATCCTACTGTGCTGTAACCGCATATCACCGACATTCTTTTGAGGGCGGACGAAAAGTGATTGCGTTGGAAAATTTTAAATGCGGGCGACTTCCCTTTTCTGGGAATTACCGCGTCGGATTTTGTTAGGTTCCAGTCTACCGCGAGCAAGGTCGCTTTTTCGAGGGGATCGCCCACTAAACCGTCATCAACATGCGCCAGAGAGTGACAGGTGGCTAGTACTTGCGCTGACTCGATCGGTATGTCCGATATGGGCGTCACCTGACAACCGTTTTTAGCCAAGGCCACACCCTCCACCACCAAATTGTCGCTTGTCAACGTGCCAGTTTTGTCAAAGCAACATATTTCGATTTTGCCAGCGAATGGGATTCTGAACGGTTCCGTGCAGTAAACTCCCAGTTTTGAGAGCGATAGTAAAGATGTGTTAACAGCCAAAGATAATTCAATTGGTAACTCTGGGGGTATCACGGATGTAATAATAAGGGTGCACTCCAGGAATAATTTATATCGGTTACGGTCGGGGTCTTCGGAACCTTTCTGCCACACATAAACGGCGGCGGCAACGGCGAAAATCAATAGAAACGAAATAAATCCGAATGTCTCCCGATTGTTAGCCGTTACTCTTTTCACGCCAAAAAGTATAGTCCTCAAAAGTTTGCCTTGCGATGTATTAAACCCGGTACGCAGTACATATGCCAAGCAACCGTTATCTTGAGCTCTCAATCCGCTGACCGTTTTAGAAGGTGGAGTATGTTGAACCACTTTAGTACCCCCAAACAAAATATGTAGCTTCCCGTCAGCTTCGAGGTCAAGTATTTTCTGCTGTTCAGCAGATTCTATCGGCTCCTTCATCTGTGGCACGGACTCGCCAGTTAGCATACTTTCGTCAACAATACACGGACCACGCAACAAAAGCACGTCACATGGAATTAAGTTATCGTGCTGAGATCTCGTAATTGACACTATATCGCCTGGAATTAACTGATCTGTTAACATCGAACGCCATCGACGATTTCGGTAAACAAGTATATTATAAGGTTTTGTGCCCATTTTAAGAATTTCCGACATATTCCTCAATTGCTGTTGAACTAACGTGCACTCGAACAATATCAACATTACTAGGGTAAATATCGAGTAATACCAATATTTATCTAAGCACCACAGCGCTACGCAAAAGACTTGAAATACAAAAAACGGCGCGGTCGCCCTTTCCTTAAATAATTCCAGAAACTCGGGTATCACCATATCGAGCTGATTTTTGCCATACAAATCCTCTGCTTGTTGGATGTCCTCGTCCTCTTGGTAACCCTTCCAGTTCACGTATTCTCCAAGAAATTTGTCGGTCGGAAATTCAAGTCCTTGGAAGATTTTTTTATCGTACGAGTAAATGTATTTGGTTTTTTGAAATATGAACCAGGTCCGAATCCCGTCGCCATCTTTAATCTACAAGAAACAATCGTGATCAAAAAATTGTACAGTAACGACTACATTTTTGTACAAAAACATATTAAAAAATTAGATTTCACCAGAGGACAAACAAGTTAAATGAATCTAAGACATTCGTGCAATTTGAGCAGTTGTTCAACCGCGAAATCAACAACAACATAGCCGTGAGTAGGTAACTTGCAGCAGCAACACATAGATTATAGGTATTTCTTTTAAATAGACACAAAACTCGAAAATTTGTTAAATTGTCATTTTGATGTTATTTGTTGTACTTAGTAGTATTATAAATTTTATAACGCATAAATAAAGGAACATTTAATCGTAATTTCGACGTAAGGTAAAAGTTATATGGTCCGAAATCTGTTCTGTTTACTAAAAACGCCAAGTGCAAGATAACAAATGCAGGTGTTTGGAGTTCGGGCGATGGCGGTGGGAATAGCGAGCGACGGCAGGGAACAACGATATGGAATTTATAAATGGACGGGGTTTCCTTCACCTTTAAATAGAAAAATAAAATGGAAATACCCGGGTTGTTTTCGGGTCAATTGTAAAAGCGTATGTCATTGTTGTGTTAAATTTTACGGGTTGTTTTCGCCAGATAAAGATGTTTGAGGTTTTTCAGCTGTTGTCCAGTGTTGTTAAAGTGTTCTCCGTCCGTCCGTACCTACGGCTGTGTCGCTCGCACATCTTTAGTTTAAGAGATACTTTTGTGCTATTTGGATCGTTATGGTATCGAGGTTTGCACTCAAAAAGGAATTTTTTCAGTGTGTTTTACACTTTTGACGGTCATTGTACTTATAAATTTTATGCGTTTGTTGCATTTTGATTTTTGATTAGCCAAAACTTAAACATGAAACTTGCTCCATTTCCTTAACTTTGAATCAAATAAATCCAAACTGTGATTGAGGAAACGGTTAAATGCATTGATAGAGAAATATTGGCTCTGTTGGAAACCACGGTTAAACCTTTCAGCGGAAGATACTATTATAAAATCAAATTGAAATCACGTGTCAAAAAGTAACTTATTTTTTCTACCCGCTTTCACTATTAGCGTTGCGGCGTTACTTATAAGTTGAAAGTGAAGGAAATGTATGGGCTACATTTTTGGCGTATTTTTCATAAAAATCGCAAGTAAATTCCGTCCGTCCGTCCAACAGTTTTAAAACTCAGCACTCGATCAACGTAATTTTAACAACTGACACTTCTCATAAAAGGAAGCATATACTGCGTTCGCACCTCCAGATGCAATATGGGGTCTTATGGACTCTCATACTAATTTCAGTCATGCTTCGATAACGGTATCTTTATTCCTCAACCACAATGATGTCAAACTAGTCCCCCCCCCCGACCCCACTTTGATAAGAGGACAGAAAGAAGGGGAGTAGTTGGTAGAAAACGGTTCCTTATAGTCTGGGTGCCTGCCGACATAAAGTCCTATTTATTAATGCGCTCCTGAAACTTCTTGTATCGCTTCATTATGGCGAGTGTACCACTTTTTCTATCTATGAAATTTTTCCTACTCGCGGCGTTTCTCCTCCATTCCTTTTCGAAAATACTAAATTTGGTATCGTAAAAAATTTATAGATACTGTGTTTCTAAAAAGTTTAATGCAAAGGGAACATTGTAAAACTCCTGAAAAAACAATTGTCGGACAAAAATGTTGGAGCGTTAGGGGTGTCTACCGAGTGAAACGTGCAAAAATAATTACTCGAAAAAATTTATAAATATCCAGCTGATATTAGCAACATTTCTTGAGAATTATGTCTATAATGATATTTTAACATTGTTCAGTCAAATCAGAAATTATTTTTGTTATTAAGTGGTGTAAACTGAGATTTATACAAAATATATTTAATTTAAAATTTCCCTGGCTCGATGTTATCGCGTTTAGCAAGACAGCCTTGTTATACCCGCCGAGAAGAGTCGCCCGCATTCGCCAAGAGGAAGTTTTTGGCACTTGATCTACCAGACTCAACAAAACGCGTGCGCTGATAAAAGGTACATTTTCTCTCTCGTGTGTGACACCCCCCAAAATACTTGACAAGAAAAACGTGCACCACAATCGCCCATCATCCACTTACTGCGCGGACAGCAAGGTAGGCAATTTTTGTTTTAATAAGGTTGTCTTTATGCGTGTTTTTTGATCAATTACCAAGTAATACAGTCCACTCCTCTACAAACATTGTCCGACAAAATACTTATACTGATTTTGCGATCCAACGCGCGAAAATTAACATTTCTACGAGGACCAAAAATTTATTTAAAAAAAATGTGGTAGACTCGCCATAATGAAGCGATACAAGAAGTTACAGGAGCAAAATAAAATAAAAATAGGACTTTATGTCGGCAGGCACTCAGACTATTACTATGACCTTTAATTAGAAAACAATGAGAGATAAAAATAATTCCCCCCCCCCCCCTTCAGGCCCCGTCGCTCACTGATCTCGAAAAATAGTCGCACGGGAAAGTTATACTTTGTACAAACCAATTTATTTCGATGAGACTTTTCATTAGAATACCATATGAAGGGCAGAACATGTGCCCCCCCCTCCATTTTCTAAAGTTTAACTTGGCACCACTAAGGCATGCGTATGCAAAATCTGAGACCAATTGGTTGTCGTATGTAAAAGTCACGTTTTCTTTCAAAAATAGCATCTCTGATAATAATTCGTGGGGGGCCCCCCCCTTTTAGACAGCGAAATTTGATGGCCGTCTGGCACACCTTCAAGGTATAGGCCACCTACTGCAAAAAATGTCAGGACTCCAGGACCATTCCCTTAGAAGTAGTTCAAAACGGTAGAAGTGGGTCCAGACGGACGGACAAAACGCAAACAATAGCCTTTTTTTTAATTCTTAAAAAATGCGCTAAAAATGTCTATACACTGCCCCACCTTGACTTTACAGTACAGGGATCATAGGGTAATGCCATCCTTACAGGAGTTTTTAGAGTGGTGATACCGATTTTATGTAAAAATAAATACGCCAATTTCTTTCAAATCGTATTCTGATGACATTTGGCATCGTTGTTGACCATAAGAGCCTGTACTGTAAAGTCAAGGTGAAATGGACTACAGAAATATTGGGCCGTATGAATAAAAGTAAGCAAATGCTTATACTTGCAAAATTCAAAGTAAATACTCGTAACTGCCCCTTCATACTGGTCTGTTTAGCATGGTTTAGCAGCGCTGCACTGCGTCCTGTTCTTCTGCTTAGAAGCGCTGCTAAGTCGCCCAGTGCGAAGGAGCACTTACGAGTATTTACTTTGAATTTTGCAAGTATAAGCATTTGCTTACTTTTATTCATACGGCCCATTGATTATAGATAGATCTAACATCATTTCTACAGATACAGATACATTAATTGAAATAATAAAAATTATATAATTTGGTGCCACAATGCCGAGCTGTTTATAGCTGATTGAACATGTCTTTATTAAGGTACCTACAGCAAAATCAAGGCTATTACTATTAAGTGTCCTGCACTAAAGCGCCCTGTTTCAATTTTTTTTTATTTTGGTACAGTCTTTATCTTGCCCCTCTAAAAGCAAATTCCAAGTCATCGAGGACCTTGTACATTTCTTAGGCAACATTTGGAATTATCATTACTATGCTTGGTGGTTAAATGCACTCTTTATCTTTGCTACGTTATCTGCCCACCTTTAACACAAAAATGTGTAATTGCAAACAGACAATTTACAAAAGAGACTGAACAGTTTAAAAGACCACAGCGTTAAAATTGCACTTCATATGTAGAAACGGATTCCAAATTCAGATCTTAGAAGACGTAAGTTAATTCAACATTGCATCCTCTTTGATAATGCATTAGGATGACTGGTTTTCCTCATTTAGACAAGAATATGAACTGGAGGATGTGATTAATAACAGACTTATGTAACCATCACATGATGTTCACTTGGGCAACTTCTCTTATTAATCATGTAATGTAACCAAATTTGAAAGGAAACTAAAAGTATTTCCCACGCACCATAGTAATGAATTGATGATATAGGTTAAGGATACGAAACGAGCATATGGTATCCATGTGCCCATATGGATACCTAACATTTTAAGGTGTACCTACTTTTGAATGATGCAATCGTAATAATTCAGCCGACCCATTATTTGCAGTTGGAACCACTTTGACAACGGTAGCTTTTGAAATATCCTTCTCCTAAAACAACAAAGTGCAACAACGATTAATCAACGTCAAGCAACTTACATACCCATTTACATGTAAAGAAACATTTCACATGAATTGACCAGTGACAACACAAACAGCATAAGATTTGTACACATCCAATGCCGGCGACCCCGACGAAACCCCCTTCATAGAACTCTGCGAAACCGTAAACACCGCACCAAGTATATATCCATACAGAATAAATTAGAATGAATGGGAGATTATATCCGTGAAATAATGTTCTTATTGTAGTATACAGCGTTACGCTTTCTACGAGATCGTCTAATTTAGTCATCTTTTGTTACAAAAATCGTCGGTTCATATAAATGCAATTGTTGGTTATGCCAACAAAACATCGAACACGGTTTCGGTTTCGGCGTACGGGTTTAGTTAAATTTTGACAGCCAACAGCTGACGTTTTGTTTCTCTGGAACAGCGTTGCCAGGATTACAGCCAATTTCAGACTAAAAAAAGTAAAGAAATCCCTTTGATAGAAATCCCCATTTTACTTTTAAGGGCAAAGGGTTTTCGGAAGGGGCACCTTCTTCTATGCTATTTTTTGATTTTACATATCTGATTTAGAAATAAACTAAACAATTACGAAAACTCCTGAAATATTATTTTCGTGATGTTGGGTGTTCTATACAGGGTGTCCGACGACGATAGCTTTGTCTTATATGGGAGTGGGAAAACTGAAACAGATGCATAGATTTTTTATCATTTGTACGCAATTTTCGTGCAATGAACTCGTTTTAGATTTATGCCACTACGAGTTTTAGTAAAAGATGACTATCACTTCGTATTTTAAAAGTGAAGTGTTATTCATTTATTTTAAAAATCTACTGCCTTATATTAAAGTCACCATGCACCGAAACCAAATTATTTATGCACAATAATATATTAAAACCTCGAACGCATTTTGACAGCAAAGTGATAGGGTACGTGAAATAGGTGCAATGCAATTGAGAAGTACCCAGTTTAAAATGTAGTAATTCGTATCCCAAAAGATTTCTAAATATAGACCGGTTCTTCTAAGAAAACAGTATTGGTGTTATACGTTTTTTTTTGCCCATAAATCCTCATAATGTTTATAGGACGTGTCATTTGCGGAATTCGGACTAAAGCAATAAAGGCGAGACAATTCTATTTTTCGAGCGTGTCTAATAGCTTAATATGGTTCTAAAGGAATTGATACTTTTAAAGTGTAAAGGAAGCGAACGGACCGTATAGTCGGTCAATGAAAGTCGTTCGTAAAGTACACGGTTAAGTTCGTTGTGATTCCGACTAACATGAATTATTATCAATTTTCAGAGAAATTTGTGCTGGTTGACGGTAGTATATTGTTTATTAAGTATTTATTTTGGTATCCACGAGGAAGCTTATTATCAGTGTAATGTTGTTCTGCATTTTGCTTTCTTACTCGTGGCCCGCAGCCTGACGGGTCGTAGGCTATACGAGAAGGGGGTTCTCTAATTTTATGTATGAGTCGTTTAACTATATTCCGCGAAGGGGGTACTTAATACAGTCCGATGATTCGCTGTATATGTTGCTCTCTTACTCGTGGCCTAGCTGCCGGACGGCGCGTGAACTACACGAGGAGGGGTCCTCTAATTAAATTTTCTTCTGCTTACGTGTTTTGCTTGGTCATTAGTCAAACCTTAACATGGATATTCATTACTGGCATTCTCACATGTACCTTCCATCCCAATGCGCCAAGACCTCTTCAGAAACAGCGAAGAAGAAGCTTGAAATAAAAGTGGTAAATTTACAAATTATTTATTTAAAATTACTACCACTTACTACAATCTAGATACTACCCGTTTGAGTTGGAAATGTTTCGAAATAATGTTCTCAAATCGACTGACATCCGTTTAGTTTGCAACAAATCCGACACAAAAGTAAATTTAGTTCCCTAGCAAATTATCACCCTGTATATGTAGAACAGATGACGTTTACGATTTCCGATTTTGACATTTCGTATTATGTGTCCCCAAAGGTAAATAAATAGAAGGTGAGGTAATTTAATGGATTATAATGAAGAAAAGGAAACTATCCAAAACGAAAATGACACTGGAAGCTTATGGCCCTATTTACCACATCCTGCACTGTACCACATCTGTCAGTACTTAAACTACAAAGAATTACTTAAAGTTGGTGAAGTATGTCGGTCATGGCTAGCTGTCAGCAGAGATGATTTACTTTGGAAAAATCTATTTTACAGTAATTTTAAAGTAGATCGTTCTGTTCCTATTATCGCTGGTGAGTTCTGCTCTTCAGAATCACATTTTTTAAATTGTTTCTGGTTAGGTAAAACATGGTTCGACGAATTTAAACGAGTATGTTATCATATTCCTATAGTACAAACGGAGACATTGACTGATCACATTCATCAAGTTTTACACGTGAGCTTTTCACACAATGGCAAGTACTTTGCAACCTGCTCAAAGGATGGATATGTTTTGGTGAGTAAATTGTTCATTGTATCTCCAATACATTGACTGTTTTTGAATTAGGTGTGGGATGCCGCATTTCCTGCTACAATTAAATATCATCGTGACATGAGAACGTTCTGTTGGAAATATACTCAGTACTCGCAATTTAATCAGTCTGATACTTTATTGTTAGTTTCCGGTGTACACTTTGGAACACCTAATAGTACTTCGGGTGAAATAGCAGTTTTTAGCTTGCAAGGTAGAGTTGTAAACAAATTAGGGGGTAATACGAGTTATCTGTTTAGATGGATTTGAACTGCAGTGCCGTGTGGTTAATAAGCCATACGACATATTCGGCACTTGGTACAGTGATCAGCACCTCCTTTCCGGAGACTTGCATTGGTTGGCACATTTAGTTAGTTCATCAGTTCTGTGGTTAAACAAAGCATCTCAAGAGACCGGGTCTGAACACGTACCTATAACTCAAAACTTGTATAAATTTTATAATCGCAATGCTAGTTCGATTAGAGCCATAATGGTAGCTAACTGTCTTCCAAATTCAGAAAATGTTAGTGATAATGTAGAAGCGTGTAAAGATGATGACCAGCCCAAAGACCATGAGTTTGTGATCGAGCATGGAAATCCGGTTAGTTATCACGATATTAATGGCAGCAGCAGTAGCAGAAATCAAGGTGAGTTGATTTCAGTTGTGAGTTCTTCCTACACATTAGGGTTCAAAAAGGGCAAGCAGGAGTAATCACGTGTTTCCTTAGCCTCTGTTAAACCATCCAATACATGACAATGTTCACAGGAAAAGCTTAGCACTTTTGGGCTTGGAATTTGTCTAGGCATTTGCCCAATGAGCCAATGTAAATGTTAACGTATGCGCCACTTAGGTTTGCATTTGCTACAAAGGGATAAATTTACTCGAAATTTTTGCAAAATATTAGCGGCCTAGAGATGACATTCTTATTCTTTGCAGTATTCATTTAATGATGTGAAACTATCACTCAAATAGCGAAAGGATAACTCCTCCCCTTTTTTCATGCAGTGTTGCTGCTGTTTTCAGTCATGCTTATAAAAATTAAATTGAATCCTTTTAGTACCTACTTACATTTATCTGACAGTGTTACAACCACATCATCGCATGACTTAGCGGTAAAAAAAATTATTGGGTAAATCGGTTATGAAGAATCGCTGGAAAATATTCTAAAAATTCTAAAGTTCTAAGTAAGTTCTAAAAATGACCACCAGAGGGCGTACCTGCCATCTTAAATTTTAAAATTGCATTTTCTTTAAATTTCGCATGATAAACAAAAAAAATTTTTTCCACATTTTTAAAGAGAACCAGTTTATCTATCATTTTCGTAAAAACAAAAACTCGGTTATTTCAAAAACAAAGATGGTGTGGGGCGTTCAATTATTTCTGCAATAACCTGCTTTAACTTCTTAACCGTTTGACCGAGTTTAACAAATTTGGTATGGTTGAAAAGAGCATTCCTTGGGCAATGAGAATCAAAATATAGTTAATTTAGTTGAATCCTTCTCCGCCAGGGGTCTAGTTTTGACACTATGACCCAAAAACCTAAAAAAATCAAATGGAATGATATGACTTTTTCTTTATGAAAAAGTAGCCAAATAACACCCAAAGAGGCCTGTGAAAACCGTTTTTCAAAATATGGTTCCTAACCTCAAATATTAGGAAAATGAGATTAAGACCATGACACCATTTGTAACGTTTTTATTCTTTTAGATACAAAAAATAATAATAAAAAAAAACTAGCAGCGCAAAAATGTTTATTAAATTATTTGAAAGACTTTATTTTTCTGTGTACAACCGACAAAAATGATGGTAGATTTTATTTCAAAAAAACATCCAAGTTAAAAAACCAAAGTATTTTTTTCGTCAAACGATTATGTTGAATTCGTTAAAATTTTGGCAATGTACATTAGGCATAAAGGGTCTAAGACTGTCAAAGATGTCTTCTTTAAATATCTAGTTTGAGCTAGGAGGCTGTTCTATCAAGAATTGGGCACCCGGTTTTTTCCTTTTGGCTAGTCAGCTAGTGACGTACGCAAATTAATGCTTCTTTGAATGTGAATCGTTGTTAACTACACCCTCTGTCCTTCACCACCAAACATTGGGTAACGATTCGTGCATAGTAGAGATGTCAAAAACAGATATCCACGGCACATCACATTAACGCGAGTTATAGTCTGAATTTTATTTTTTAAGAAAAAGCAGATATTTTATTTTGGTCAAATTGCGTATATTGTTCCATTTTCCTATTTTATACATATTTTTTGCCTTAACGAGCAAACCAGCTCGTTCATGATTTTGGACTTTCTGTCCGTCCGTCCGTCTGTGTACATGATATCTCGCGAACGGTTTGGCATTTTCCAATTCCAAGGGGCTATCTGATTCAATGTTGGTCATTTAGACTTTCTGTATGTCTGTCTGTGTTTGTTGATCGTTGTCTATATTAGTTTGAAACAGTTCATTTTTAATTCAATTGACTAACTCAATCGACTAGGTACAAAAAGTCATGCCCAAACCCAAATGCAAACCAGCGACCAGTGGTTGTAGTCAAGCATACCCCCAACTACAAAGCGGCACACATTTACTAAAATAATTTTCTTTTCTAGTGTTCACAAATCCACGTTGGTGTACTCGGAATAAAAATGTGGATAGCTTTGAATATGCCACGTCAATTTTGTATAACACAGATTATAGAAAGGTAGAATTAGAGGCGTATGATATCTCACAAGGATGCGGAAGTCACGGCTGTAGTGACGATGAAAATGATAGTAATGATGACACTGCATCTGATCTGTCATTTGATACAAGCGATGAGTGTGATGAAGTGCAAGAGGATAAGTACTTAATTTTTACGACTGGATTTAAAACATATACTCCTCATCAAATAGGTGAGTTGTCTATTTTAATTATTTTTCTAAATTGTGATAAATCACACCACATACACTAATTTTAGTTAAGAATTCAAAGAGGGCGCCATCAATTTAATATTTTCAAAGTCTAGATATAGAAGGTACCTACCGTATACAATGAAGCACATTTTGATATAGCGTCGTTTTGGTGATTTGTGGGAGAATTAGCACCATTAGGATCAGTATTTCATGTTTCAATTAAATTTATGTGATAAACCTGAAGAATACATTTGTTTTCATGGAATTTACCTCTCAGATTTAACAGGAACGCGAAAGAGCAGCCCTTAACCTGCACATATAGCTTTGTTTTTCAATTTACTGGTTAAATTGCCCAAATATAGCGTAGGTATATTTAGGGATTTTATATATTTTTAGATTAAATTACAACCCAGGCATCGTTAACAATATAGTTAAACACTACAATTTAACAAGTTTCTTATTCAGGTTGTATAAATAATGAGTGATAATAATTTTGTAAGGTTTTAAGAGGATAAAGCCATTCATGTTTCCAAAACGTATGGATCCCGGTCCTACACTTAAAGAGAGAATCATTTTACAAGAACGTAAAAAGGAGCAACAAAGATCAAGTTCCCCGCCGCCCGAACCGAATTGGTTAGATTTCGACGCCGTGTCGGACAAATTCGATAAAATCGATCACCTTATTGACGTGCACGGCCATATTATCGGAATGGGTTTAAGTCCAGATCATCGGTATGGTCCAGGATTGACATAAGGCGTAAGCTTGATCAGCTTTCTTTTAGGTACCTGTACGTTAATAGTAGACCATGGCCTCAAGGTTACACAATTACAAACCCTTTAGATCCGCCACCTATAGCTCAAGAAATCGATATACATGTGATTGACTTAGTTACATTAAAACAAGTTGGCACTATGCTGCGCTCACACAAAGCGTATACTCCTAATAATGAGTGCTTTTTTATTTTTTTGGATGTGTGCAATGAATATGTGGCAAGGTGAGTAACCTGAGCATTTTGTAAAATTTAGGTGTCTCAGAGTTTCAGTGGTGTTGTCTTCACAAATTATTTTTGAGGAAAATATAACTAAAGAGTGTAACGTAAATTTAATTACGTGATCTATTTATTTACAATTAATTAATAATAAATTTATAAGTCTTAAAATGGAGTAATTTAGAACAGTTAAGTAGTATTTATCACACACAATTTATAACATAACATGAGCGCATCAATGTTGTAACTTCCTCCACACACAATTCCATTTGCTTATACAGGGTGGTGACTTGCGTAACGCATCATAGGGATTTTAATGTATAATTCATAACATGCGATTATTGGCTCCCCAAATTATTTTAGAGCAAAAATGTATTAAAGTTTTTTGTAGAAAAAAATTTTTTACGCCAAACGCCGTATTAGTTTTCAATTTTTTTCATATAAAGACGGAAAATTGGGAAAATAAAACCCGCATCTTTTTCAATAATCTGCGATGCCATGGACTTTTCTAAAACAAAAAGATATCCAGTTATCAATTATACAGAGTGAGCAACAAAGATTGAAGCGTGCCGCTTCAGCTAAATTGGCAATGTGCCGCTCATAGCATATGCTGATTTGATACAAGATACGAAATACGAATAGACGCACGTCACTGTGACAGCGCAGAACGTCATTTTCGTATACAACTCCATACAAAGAAGGTAGTTTTGATATTAATAGGAACAAGCGGTGATGACGCACGCTTCAATCATTGTTGCTCACTCTGTAGTAGCAGTTCGAAATGGATTTTATGATCGACTTGGTTACTGTCTTGTAGTTAATGGTGACTTATTCGAACGTTTATTGTAAATTGTTATATTAGAAAACCGTTTTTAGTAATTTGGCCTTTCTTTATGTTGAATTCGCTGTTTTAAATATAATACTTTTTGATAGAATTTGATTTGTTTTATAGCAGACATTCCATGGCATGACGGATATTGGCGTAGTTTTTGTATTATGAAATTCCATGGCATCACAGATTATTGAAAAAGGTAGGGGTTTTATTTTTCCAATTTTCCGTCTTTATTATGCAAAAAATTGAAAACTAATACGGTTGATTGACGTAAAAAATTGTTTTCTACAAAAAACCTTAATACATTTTTGCTCTAAAATAATTTGGGGAGCCAATAATTGCATGTTATGAATTTTACATTGAAATCCCTATGATGCGCTAGCCAAGTCACCACCCTGTATAGCAAACACCGGCCTTTCTCGAACGCGTCATATTTCTCAGAAAGAATGCGCCACATCCGCCTTATAACTCATCTTTTATGGCGCTTCGATGTCTTATCGGGTTTTCTAGAATATTTGCTACAAGACTAAGTTTTAAAAGTTGTATGCAGTACAAGTATGAGCTTAAAATTTTTCAATGTTTTGAGTATTTAACATCCATTTAGTCGCCATGTGCGCGACTACATTATTTTTTTCGCGATTACGATTTTCCGATCGCTGAATGCGACAGAAAAAGTGCGCACCTAGCTTTCAAGTTTTTAATGACCTTCACTTACAAAGTATATAGCTTAGAAACTATTACGTTAAATACGAACTGTAGTGGAACTTTTAACTCATAAAGATTATAACTGCGCCATAAAGGTGAATTGCGAGACAGAGAAATATTATTGCGAATACGGACAACCGTAATAATGGACGCGCGAAAATAATTCAAGGTCTGAAGCGGTTGATTGTGCGCAAATATTTTTTTATACGACATTGACACTGTTGGATCATCTACAATTGATTTTGGGTGATCGTATTTATGCTTCAAAATCAAAGGAGCCATTTATTATTATTATACGAGACCTAGGAGTTTGTATCGAGAATCCAATAAAGCTCTGGTTCTCAGCTGCAGGTTTTGCATTGTCATGGAAGAGCAAAATTTCGTCTATCATCATGCCGCGTCCGTTGTTTTGAATCGCTACGAACGATCATTAATAATTTTGTATTGTTTTAGTGGCGCAGAAGATAAGCACGGGTACTTATGGGACAGACACTACGGCATATGCCTGGCAAAATTTCCTCACACCGACGTCGTGAATTCGGTCGCGTTCAATCCAAAAGATCCAGAAATGTTGGTGACAACTTCTGATGACCATACCATAAAAATATGGAGATCTAGAGCGAAGGCGAAACAGTTAGGGTTGAATGTAGCGCAATTCCAAGAAGGCGTCGAAAAACGAAGGTACAGAATGCAAAGAAGTTTCCGAAATTAATAAAATAGAACAGGATGCTGTCAATTTCAAGAAGTGCAACGATTATATAATCACTTTTAAAGCAATAGAACTTTACCGTCCACTTTACTAGAGGTGTTTGTGTAGGGATGCTGTGTATATTGTAAACAATAGATACATAGGACTATTTATTAACAAAAAGTTTATATTTATATTGTGTGGGTATAATATTGCGAATAAATATTATTTATTATTGTTACCTAACTTCGAGTATTTCCATTTAAACATTCTATGTGAGCATTTCTGGGATTGACATTAATGGATAAAGGAAGCTTAAAATCACAATATTTAAGACACTTAAAAAAGTTAAAAAACCTATCACACCATTGATATTTAATTTGACAAAGAAGACTGTCCGTTAAGATTTGCTTCGACGTGATTTTCATTGGAACTACAGTTGGGAATGTGATCGTGCGACGAATCGCCTTTACTTCGCTTATGCTTCTTTTTCTCTATGTGCCCCTTACAATGATCACATTCGTCTTCTGAATCATCAGAACTACTGCTTTCATCTTCAATTGTTTTGGGTTTCGTATATATACAGCAACCTAATTTAAATTGGTTATATGCATATGATATACTAAACTTGCCATAGTACTTACAGCTCGATTTCTTCTTGTTCATGTCTTCATTGTCGACAGTCTCATTGGTCCATTGAACTTTCTTATCATTTTTTGGTTTCTTCAATTTCAAATGGAGGGTAGGTATGTTGCTGTCCTAAAAAATGCAATAAGCATTATTATTTGCATATATTTATATCTTAAAAAGGAAATGAGTAGAGATATGGGATAGTAGCGTAATCCTATCTGTCATCTTGATGATATGGCGAAAATTGTGTATGCATTTATACTTGTAGGTGGATTGTTTAGAGGCGCCACTCTCATACACAACCTAACTATTTTTTACATTCCTTCCATCAGAGAAGAGTTTGAGATATAAACGTTAGAACCAAGAGGCAAACATTTTATTTGAAGCTCTCCAAATTTGTTATAAAGTTGGGTATGTGTGTAAGCCTCCTTCATGCACTTTTGATGTACTTTTACCAATTAGCGTTGTTTACTACAAATGTGTTAAGAAAGAAATACTCGTACATCCAGTTTGGGTTGAAAAAATAAGTAGTTCCCTGGTTATTGTTCATGTAATGTCAATGGGTTACAGCAGATTTTGAGCACAAATTTCCTCGAGCACAAATTTCCTTGAAAATTGTAAACACCCGTTGCTTTGGTCGTTTTAATATTATTTCGTTCTTTTCTAAACCAGTAAAACTGCTTTTTAATTAAGTTGGAGAAAGAAATTATGTATCATTTTATATTGACACCTTAAAATAGACATAGCCTTGGCATTTCAGGCGCAACTTTTGAAACAGTTTTTTTCACCTCCAGTTTGTGTCACCATTTTTAGAACGAAAGTCTTTTTGGGAACTTTTCATGCATTTCTTTTCAGTTTTACTTGAAATGCGTAACGTGACTTACTACAACGTTCTTCTTGACCTTTGCGCCAAAGTGACCTCATGGCGAAATAGTCTCGTGTCGAAACGGCAGTTCTTAAGTGGTTGTGCCTAAATCCCCTGGGCTTTTTCAATTTTGTGAAAATTCAGGCAAAATCAGAATCAGAAATATTTTCGCTGCCCCGTTTAGGGATGTGCCACGATGGTGCAAATCTCAAGGGGTCGATCATTCAGTAAATTTTGGAAGGACAAAAAGCAGTAATCTATTGTTCAGTTCAGATAGTTCAGCACATTTTTAATGAACGTATTAGTATTTTTGCAGTACTTCTGGTGAATGCTTTTTTTACTTAGTGCATTTTATTAAGAATTCCAAATGTTTTATAGTTTGGGTCATTTTCTATAAAACTAAAATACCTTTTTTTTATTACTTCGAAGGGTTCGTCATGAGACATTTTCTGCAACGATATTTTTGAAGCGAAACGTTATCAACTATTATATGCGATTGACAATTTAGCAAAATTAGTTCACTAATTTAGTAATGTATTTTGGCTTAGGATTTTTGTCTGATACTGGAAATCTTTAGGGGGAAAGGACAAATGTCTAATGTACACGTTTTGTACATCATAAAATAAGTAAGACTTGGGAGCCCTTAGGACCTTGCTGTATTACTATAACGTCATTGCGGAAACTGCGCATGCGCACATTAATCGTCAAAATTTTGTTTAGCTCAGGTGTCAGAACTGTCAGCTACCGAGTACAAAAAGAACGAACTAAATATATAAAAAAGTAGTAATTCCGGCCTCGGATGAGCAGACAGAAAAAGTGCGCTAAAAATTGACATGAAGAAAACGCCGTTTTTGTTCACAGAATATTTGGTTTATCATTTTCGTAGTTAATAATAGTACACTTTTGGAGCGTTTTATAAATTATTGGTAAATTCAGTACATTATTAGTAATATGTGTAAACAGTGTACGATATGTGAAGTATATCAAAGACTTAGGTAAAACCGATGCTTCCAACTGTCACGGACACGGCTCCTGAGAAAAAAATTAAAAAATCTCCCCATGTGTAAATCTTCACCCAATTTATTTCTGAAACGATTTTGCTGAATATTTAACTGTAGCTCTTTCCAATATGTGTGCATTTATCTCGTGAACAGATTGTTGGAAGAGGGTCACAAAGGGTAAATGAATTGAATGTTTCAAAATCATCAAAAAATGTTCCCTAAAAATCCTACTCGATTCTTCATGTTGTTTTTTGTGGAAAGCTGCCTGCTGAAATTGCAAGATTGAAGGCCACTGGGGTAATAGCAGCCAATTTCTGTTCAGAAATTTGAAAGTACTCGGCCCCTTTGTATTTCAATAGGTATTTCCTCGCTAGTAATGTGTCATTTCAACAAAATTTAAATAATAAATAAATAAGAAATAAATATTTTGTACGGTCCAATTACATTATTATGAAATTACCCTATGAACAGGGTGGTTCAAATTCGGGGCTAACCAATTGGATCTCCGTAACGGTGACAAATACAGTGTAGGTTAAATAGAGGGAAAGTTGTCCCTTTTTGTGACTAAAAAAACCCATTTGAAATTTTTCAAAAATCTTTAAAAATAATTTATATATCACCAAAAAACTAAAATGTAACATGCCGTTTTCATTTTAGTGTAGAGTGTGACCTTTCATTATTTTTCCTTTTTTGTCCTCTATCTCATTCCGTAAAAATCCAATATGGCGCCCATAATAAATAAGATTCAGATTCTCCCGAAAAAAGTGCCTATAGAAGGTGTTAACGGGAACCGTTTATTTTCGACTGTTAGTTATTTTCAAAAATTTCAAAAGCAGTCTTGCCCTTTTGCGGAGATTCCAATAATGCGCTACGAATTTAAACCACCCTCTACGTTGGGCGAGATAATGGCTCGACGAATTTTGTTCAATTTTTGATATGTATACAGAGTTAAACATGTGGCAAAAATTCAAGAGGTAACTGGGCTATTTTAAAGATATTTTATCCTGTGATGGTTTTTGAAAAAGTGCTTTGTTGTGAAGACACAAGGCGAAAAAATAGGAGTTGTTATCTTAGCAACATTGCGCGAATGCTTTAATTGAAGATTTTGTTTGCTGTTTTGTAGTTTCTTGTTGGCTTGAATCATTCGCTTACACTAGGCCAGTGGAAGATTTAAGAGATTGGAAAAATTTGAATTTTGAAGCTTTGGAATAAGAAACGACCCTGGTGTTTTTGAAAGAGTCCGGGAGTCGATGAGGAGAAGATTGGATTGGTTGCATGCCAGTTGGAGGTAGCCATTATGCTAGGTTTTATTACAAAAAAACGAAAAAAAATGTCAAACTTAAAAAACAAAAATTTTTTTTCGCCAAAACGATTGTTGATTTCGTTAAAATTTTAGCAGTCTCCATTAGGCACCTTTTATAAGATAGCTTGAACTAAGGAGCTGTTCTGTCAAGAATTGGGCATCTGGCTTTAAGTGGAACACTTAGTGTACTTATTTGAATCCTCGTAATAAAAAAAGATAGCATATTAAATTGTTTTGCAAATTATAACATTAAAAAAACTGAATGTTGTTTCAAAAATTAGAAAGATTTAACATTTAAAAATATTTTTAAATCGTGTTTTTTTTTTAATTTGTGTTATTTTTGATAAGAACATTTAATAAGCGATTTTATTAAATTAAAATAGACTATTTAAAAAAATGATGTTAGGTCCAATCACTTTTTTACCTCGACGTATTTTGAAAACCGCAGATTATTCGACAATCATTATAATTAAACTTTTTTAATACACTTTTTTGTATCTTTTTTTAACAAAGGCCGGTCTGGAGTTAAAAATCTGTACTTAAGTGAAAAAAGGACACCCTGTACTAGTGATGCAACGGAAGTGGTATAACAGAATCAGAAGCGGAAAAAGAAAACAACTTTTTTTGCGGAAGCGTAAGTATTATTATAAATTTGATAAAAACTAGAAAAATTACTCATGGCAAACGCCGCCCGCGGCCACGTCACGCACCGTCCCAATCATGCAATATGAGCGCACACTGCTAAATTTGAAAAATTCCGGTATGCTTCCAATATAAAATGGCGGTAAAGGAAAAAATATGTATCACTTCCGCACTTACGGAAGCGGAAGTCTCCTGCATCAGTACCCTGTACTTTTCTTCTTATGAATCAATAGAACGAAAATTTTTTACAAACATATCCAACTCACCTTCAATGTAACTCACATACAAAGTGTGATTAGTGATTACATTACATGTAGTTTTTTTTCTCATTGGAATTGTTTTGTTGCATCAGATTCGGTAACTTCTTACTGAAGTGCATTGATGTGTTAGTGAAGACTTATCAGAATTCCTTCTGAAGATACACAGAAATTCGGAAGTCTCTTTGAAATTCCATAAAAGTTTTGCAGTTTTAGTGAAGCCCTCCAAATTTGTGAAATTGATTTGAAGTTTTTCAGAAATGGTGTGTACGTTATCGTAACGTGAATACCCCCAGTGAAATAGTTTTGGCAGATAATGTAGAAGAACCTCAAGTTGAGATTAAAAGGGGGGCAGGAACTGTCCAAAATGTGAGAGAACAAACAAACTCTCCCATATGATGAACCATTTACAGAAGAAGATTTATCTTTTGTTAGCCTACTGCCAATTTCTTATTCATCCAAACCTGTTGACACTTTAAAAAGCAACATTCCGAAATAGTTCAAATGCTAACAAATCATATATAGGGAAGATAAAGGAAATTGAAAAGAAAAAAAAGATTGAGAATGAAACTGGATATAAGCAAATTTAAGATGTGACAGGATTACAGCCTACAGGAAGCAACAATGCTCAATGACCACAAATGCACAATGGGTTTGGGTAAGAAGAAACATACTACAGACAGTGAAGAAGATATTGACAAAGTATTAAAAGAGTGGGAAGTGGGTGCACATACTTTTGGCTATGGTTAACTAGTTGGTATTTTTCAGTGCGCTTTCTCAGAATTGTTTATCCATTTACCTCAGTTAAGAGGAAGAGCAAAGAATATTGTTGGCCTTGTTTTGGATAAGCACTAAGCAGTTATCTCCAACATCACTTTCTGGTCTAGTTTTTCCTACCGAATGCAGTGATACAAGGTACCATGATACTGATCAGTACGTAGTACTGCAGGTGTGAGGTATGTAGTGGTAGTGGGGTCAGCTTTACATGGGAGTAGGTTTCAATATAACAAAATTAAAAATATGTTCGTAAAACGTGCAAGATAGGTTCTAGATAGACAACAACGAAAAAATACAGGTTTATTTGCATGCACAAACTAAAAAAGATAACATCTATGTACAAGGCACAATTATAAATACTTATTTAATTCTACTTTTCAAGGTTAAAATAAAAATGTTCGAAATCTACCTACTGTATCACCTTCTCAGATACCAACGTATCAATATAGTCATCATTGAATTGTAAAACACCTTTTAACACTTCTCGAGTGTGCTCACCTAAAGCAGGAGGCGGGGAGCGGACATAGTTTCCACCGGTGCTATAAACAACGGGTGGCCCCACAACCTTAACATGGCCCGCAGTTGCATGCTGCAGTTCCTTAACTATACCTATTGCTTTAACATGCGGATCATCGAAAGCCTCCCTAAGAGAATTGACGGGTCCACATGGACTTGACGATCCCTCAAAAATTTGCATCCACTCCGCATTTGTTTTACTAAGAAATACAGGATAGAGCAAGTTTAACAATTCCTTACGATTCTCTATGCGCTTTTTATTTGTCACAAACTTCGGATTTGTTGCTAAATTGGGTTGACCGATTCGTTTACAGAAATCGACATACTGCTGATCAGACCCGGCTCCTATCGTTAAATAACCATTCTTTGTGGGAAATGTTTCGTATGGAACTATACTCTCGTGGGCGGTACCCCAACGTTTACCTTCCATTTCCGCATTTAGATAATTTGAACCAATATTGATTAATGTCGACAATTGAGTCGACAACAAATTGCAATCAATTTTTTGACCCAGTCCTGTCCGCGAACGCTTAATTAACGATGCCATTATGGCACCGTGCGCATACAAACCGGTGGCAATATCAGTCATTGCTATCCCGACTTTAACAGGTGCACCATCTTCCGGTCCAGTGATATGCAACAAACCGCCCATTGACGCAGCAATAACATCATACCCGGGCTTATTACGATAAGGGCCCACATTTCCGTAACCGCTAATTGAACAATAAATCAAATGAGGTGCGATCCCACGAATATCTTCATAACCAAGTCTCAACTTATCCAAACCGCCCGGTACAAAATTCTCTACTAGCACGTCACTTTTCTTCGCCAACTCGTAGATGATTTCGCGCCCATTCTTCGATTTCATATCGACGCACACACTTTTTTTATTTCGATTAACCGCCACAAAGTAACACGTCTCGGGGGAGTCGTTGATGAATGGAGGGCCCCATCTTCGACATTCGTCCCCGGTGCCGAGCCGTTCGATTTTTATAACTTCGGCTCCTAGATCTCCCAATATCATTGTACAATATGGTCCTGCTACTATTCGTGTTAAATCTAACACTCTAACACCTTCAAGAGGTGAAACATTGTCGGCCACTCCAGTGCTGGTGGTGGTTATTGATTTTATAACGTTATGGTAAGCGGGATTAAATTTAGAGTGATAAAAGACTACACTTCTACGTAATGCATTCATTTTACGTTGTGAAAAGTGGAAATAATTTTTGTAAATACCTGTGCATCGGCAGCAGCGACGATTGTTACTGTTGATGAAGTGCTTTCTTGAACTGGTTGATTCGCTGGGACTGGTTCTGCCATTTTATAGCCTAATTAAAGTGTGACATTCCTCCTGATTCATTAGTGATAAGGTACACATCATGATATTTATTTTATTGTATGACTACGTAAATTGCTATCTACGCCTATTACAAAAACTTTCATTCAAAAAATTTAGAAAAGCTGTCAATGTCAAGCTCGAAAATGTGAAATCTGCATTATCGATAGTTCGAAACTTCGAACCGCCCATCTGCACAAAAGCGGGAATTACACTTATTCAAAAGCTTCCTTAAAAATATTATCCACACACACACACAGTAACAAGGGGCATCGTATCTTTTGATAAATATTATTAGGTCAATATTTGCAGTGGTGAAATACTCCAAATCACTCCAAGATAAAAGGATATGTGTGGCAATTTGTTTTCAATTTACATTGTTATGCAAATATAGAATTTTAATTGCACGGTTATAGGTAATTATGACTTTGCAATGCAATTAGTAAACTTGCTCGTTAACTAAATGTATGGTCTCATCTGGAAGAAAGCCTGAAATTTGGTCTAATTGTAGTTTTCATGTGCGTGCTACAATCATAGTACATATGTCAATGCCTAATTTACATTTGGCAAGTTTACCTACTGGCGAAAAGTACTTTCTGTCAGTAAACTTGCTACCCTATTTCTATTTAACTGGCACTTTCCGTGCATTTACACGTGGCAAGTTTACTGGCCGACAGTACTTTCCGCAAGTAAACTTTTGCCAAATGTAAATTAGGCTTAAGAGCATGCCGCAAATGGTGCAGTCGGCCCTTGACCGCCACGAATGTGTTACTCGTGCTTTTTATGTCGCATGAAAACGGTTAACGTTAGGTTAGAAGAAAACGGTTCAAACAAAAAATGGCGTAGGTACAATAAATTACCTTCAAATCGGTACCAAATTTATTTTGATAGAGAGCTAATATAGGTAGTACCAAAGAAAGTATATAACGTTCGTTATATTGGTAACTCTTTGGTAGTAGGTACCTACTTACCGGGATACCACTTACCGACATTATGTACCTAGGTCATTGAATAATCATTATTCAATGCCTAGCTACAAAATGCATAAGTACTTATAGTTATAATTTATTTCATAAGTACGAAACGGAACGTTCGGAACAAAAGGAAGAGTGGTGTTGGACGACAATCCAGAAAGTCGCCGCATTTCAATAGGATGGTATTTGCAAAAATTAGTGGTATAAATGTTGGGATTGATTTGTATTACCTACAATGTAGGTAACAATTAAAAACTTGTGATGGGTTAACAATAGAAATATAGGTAGGTACAGTCTCTTGTAAAAGTAATGTCCCTCGGATACCTACCACTGTAGCATAGGCAACCAACATCCCAGCCGCCTAGTCCAAGTTGGATTTGCGGGTGTGCGAGGTAGGTATCTAATGCGGTTCATTTTCAGCAGATATTCCCATTTAGCCAAACTAAATACTAGTTAGTAGAATAAAAGTGAATGCCATCGATTTATTAGCTCAAAGGATCTGCGCTGCATATCCTTGGCTTGGTGCAGTAAACATTTTTACATTTCTTACAATTGGTTTGGTGCGTTTTAAATTTGCAAATAGTTTAGCTAGAGACTATTAAGACAAAATAATGGCTTTTCACTTTAATTTTCTGAGTAGGTTTTCTTCTAACGAAATAAAGGTTTCTTGTTCTTTAATGACATTGAAATTCCAGTGTCATTAATAATTACTTGCGAGTAGGTCTCCTCATGGAATGCGATTAATTGCCCTACAAGTGCACTGTGCAACAATACCTTTCTTTTGTAACTAGCATCAGAAATTAAATGATATGCATTTGTGATACTTGGTCGTGGTTGATTTAATATCGAATTTAGTTTAGGAGAGCTTTTCCGTTGCATATTTTTGAGTAGGTAGGCGTATTATAAGGATATTTAGTCCAGGCCATTGAATAATAAATCTGAATAGAAAGACAACGCAATGCTTTTTGAAGGGTCCACTTTAACGGAGTTTCTGCGTAGGTTGCCCTCTGGGACAAACTCCGCTTATTAAAAGTAACTAAATTTTAATCGAGGTTTTATACCACCTACTCAACTGAATCAAAGTGATTAGATTTCTTTAGATGACGCTACTGTCGCGTACTTATCTCGTAGACTGCGTGGGAGTTATAACAGCAGGTGAAGATCGTATTGCAATATTATCTCTGTATTTACAAACTTATGCTTACGTAATACATGTTATTATTTGCACACCTCTTAGGAAATGACGTCAAAGTTATCAACTTACAAGTAAATCTTGATTCCAACGATCTTTGAGATCGAAATTAAACTTTACTATTATTGTACCTATAGACAATGTTTTGGGATATTTCAGAATATGCAATATACTGTCAGTCTCAGTTGTGCGAGCATTTACAGATATTGTTTAATTGCTGTTTCCGTATATAAATGCACAAATAACATGTTTTTGAGACAAAATTTGGAATTAAGTACTTTAAACAACAACATTAAAATTCAAATGAGAGAAGTGCAATATTATATTATGATGTGAAATGAAAGGTTTTTTAAATCGGCTTCATGAAAGAAATTGTATTGCACTTTTACGAAACGAAGACTCGAAAACGCCATGCCGGCACGTTTGCTTCTAAACCTTTTTCTACGTCTCTCTTGTAACATATTTTTGATATTTTTTAAATATTAATAATTACGGCACCTGAAAATACCATAAATATCAAGTACTTCTACAATTATTTATGCAAAATTCGAGTATTAAATCAAAAATCTGTTACAATAGAGGCATAGATGTGTCCTTTATCTTTACATCGGCACCTAACAACACGGTATAGAATCCAATTTACTCAAAATGTTATACTAAGTCCCACACCTAGACACGCTATTCGAGCCATATAATTTCTATTGAAGCGCTTTCCTAGTCGTATGCAGAGAACGGCTTAAGTTCTCGAGTTTACGGATCGAATAAGAAATTTCAAAGCTATTATGAATTTCCATAGCAAGAGAAAAGACGCAGTCGTCAATCGCATTCAATGGAATGTTTTTTACCGTCAAAAAATAAATCAAGAGAACATACATTTATCATAGGGTCCGTTCACTTAGCCCCCCATTAGCCCAAAAATGAACCAATTTTTTTTATGTATTGTGCCTCGATTGTGCATTTATGCGCACCGTTTGTGCTTTTTTGGTTTTGGAGATAATCGAAAAAATCAAATGGGGGCTAAGTGAACGCTTAGCCCTCCAAAAAATTAAACTTTTTGATAGTTCATCGACGGTATTGCGTAGTACTTCGATTGTGTTTAATCGTGCTTTCATACTCATCGTTTGTGCCTTTTTGGTTTCGGAGATAATAGGAAAAATCAAATGAGGGCTAAGCCTGGGGCTAAGTGAACGCTTAGGTCTCATCAAAAGAAACTGATTTGTACAAACTATAGCTTTTCCGGGCGAGTCATTTTCGAGATCAGAGGGTGGGGGGGTGGAACTGGTTTTATCCTTCATCATGATACTCTAATGAAAAGAGTCTCAACGAATGGAATTAATTTCTACCAACCATAGCCCTCCTCCTCAACCTCTTATCGTGATCAGGTATATTCCCTTATACCTCAAGATCGGATTGTCGGAAGAGGGTACTCACACGAACTTATAAATTAAGATGGACCACTGATCAAACAGTTGCATAGAGGTAGAAATGGCCCTAGCATGGGCTCCGCCATGATGTGCACATTCTAGTTATTTTCTAGGGGAATTTTCCTAGTGCTCAAGTTTTGAGCCTATTGCAGCCTTGGAAAATGACATGTGTCACAGTAATTTATTTAGAAAATGTGAGGTTAATGTTGGAATGCTTGTTTATTAGTTGATGAGAATTTCGCGCCATGTGAGTGCACATCATGGCGGCCCCCATGTAGGTGTCATTTGTCAATTCAGCATTAACATTGAATAACTTGCTGTACCTCCATTTTGATATGGAATTCGGGATCCTTATCCATAAAAACATATAAATCGATGTACGACACGTTAATATTGAAAAAATATAAAAACCCACCCCTTAAAAACACCCCCACTCCTCCAAAATGCCCCCAAAAACATTTTTAACTAAAAATTTAAATTCAGAAAACTTCAAAACCCTAAAATCGATGTGCTACATGCCCATATTTTTAAAAAATTTAATTTTTGTATTTTTTGCAGACATTTTTGGGCGGATTCTTAAAATAGACCTACTTAGTGACCTAAAACCGCAAAAAAATTTTCACCGTACCTGAAACAATCACTACACAACAGTTACAAAGATGAGTGACACGTTTTTAATTAGGTTTTCGGGTATGCCCTTTCCGATTTTGAAAAAAATTTTCAAAATTCCTATCACGGAAGGGCGCACCCCTGCTTCGACGAAATTTGGTGCCTGGCGGTTTTTGAACATAAAAATCACTAATCTGGAATTAGTTTTTGAAATTCGAAAAAAAAGTTCCACTGCAATTCTTGGCCGGACAACGAAAATGGAGAGAATTCCAAGAAATTGGTTGTGTACATACTGGATGAGTTAAGGAACAAAATTTTAAAATAACTTTTCAAACAAAAGTTATAGGTACTCGTTTGGAGAATGGGCCTTGGGGCAAAGTGTCTCTCGCCTACTACTATAGTGAATGATCTAATTTCGTATATGTAGTTAGTTGAAAATGTCACAAATAACAAAAAAATAACGATTTAAGTTGCCCCCATTTGATTTGTCCTATTATCTCCAAAACCAAAAAGGCACAAACGGTGCGAATAAATGCACTATTGAGCACAAATGATTATTGAGGCACAATACGTAAAAAAAATTAGTTCATTTTTGGCTAAGTGAACGGACCCTTTATCATATTATCATAGCATATTGTTGTCTAATTATCTTGTATCCAATAATTGACTTTTTACGTTCTACAACAACACTGTTATTATTATTGAATTAAGAACACTTGTTAAAAAATTAAGTCGGATATTCTCCTGAAAACTATATTTAGACGATCGTTGTATCAAAGGTATCCAGTTACCGACGTGCGTAAGTTTATCAATGGCATGATGTCACCGTAGTCAAAACATTCTCTCTCACCTCTCTACTCATGTTGAAGTGAGTATCTCGGCTATATTGTATGAATTAAAAAATGTTGAAGAGTTTCCTTTAATCACGTTTTGTTACTTGCCGTACGATACCAGCAC